GGCCACGGCCACGAACGGCCCCCCCCAAACAGTGTGCATCCCAGGAGCGGCCGACGGGGCCCCTCCCGAACCCACAGCGCGAAATCCCGGAGGAGGACGAGAAGGAGGAGGGGGAGGGGGAGGAGGAGGAGGAGGAGGAGGAGGAGGAGGAGGAGGGAGGAGGAGGGAGGAGGAGGAGGAGGAGGAGGAGGAGGAGGAGGAGGAGGAGGAGGAGGAGGAGGAGGAGAAGGAGGAGGAGGAGGAGGAGGAGGGGGAGGGGGAGGAGGAGGAGGTGGTGGTGGGACCAGCCTGGGGAGCCTGTGGGTCATCAGCGTCTTGACGAACTCAGCTTGCCATGCTGACCCCTGGCTCGCGCTGTCTGCGGCCGTATGCCGCTTGTGGGCCAGGGAGCGATCAACCGACCGCCGCTCCAGCGCACACTCATCAGAGCACTGGCGCATATGACTGAACCTCCTATTGGGGCATCAGGAGGACCCCGAGGAGGTGTGAGCCGAACGCACCCCGCAAGATTTTCCTCGCGAAGGGGCCCCAGCCCCTCAGGGGGGGGAAGAAAAAAAAAAAAAAAAAAAACTGACTAGCTCACGATGGGTCGCCTGACGCTCTGTACTCACTGCCTTCAGTGTTAGAAACATCAGAATATTCAAAATACTCCAGGAGCCATTGGAGATTTTCAGAGTCGGTCCTGGACGGGGGAGCCCCAGGGAAGGAGGAGAAGGAAAAGGAAGGACAGAAACCAAACTCTAGGACTCCAGGGCTCTGGAAACTCTCTGGGTTTACAGATCTACTGATGGGCTCACTCTGGACCCCCTGGCTTTCCCAGAGGGTCCTCTCGAGCGCACGCTCACTGCTCTCAGACGGGCTCACTCCTGCTGTTTGAACTCCCCCATTTCGACGTGACACTCGACGATCGTTCGGGCGTGCGGGCCACGCGCGGGGCCGCCCACCTTCCGCTCCACCTCGGGCAGCTGGCCGATGATCTTGACCACCACGTCCAACGTCGACTGCAGCTGCGGCGAGACCATGAGCTCGAGACGGTACCAGTCCTTCTTCCACTCTTTCTGGCGATAGCACTTCTTCGTGAAACCCACGTGCACGTGCGGGCACGGCGCCTTCATGTCTTTGACATTCTGGACGTGTTGCAACAACAACGGCTTCTGCGCGTCGGGGGAGGTCGCGTCCGTCGCCAGCGTCATGCACATCTGGCACCACAACTGAATCCAACTCCAGATCTCGTTCTTCCGCTGGGCGTGTTGTTTGGCCGTTCGCTTGATCATAGAAAACATTGAGCCAAGATAACTGGGCACGACGACCCCACTCCTGTAGGATACGTATTTGTAGTAGTGCTTGCTCTCGACGTCGGTGTTCAGCAAAACCAACAGACTGTGGAGGTCGATTCGCATCACGGCGGCACCACAGACCTGCAATGTAAGCTCTACCAAACGGGCACAGAATATGGATGACCCGTTCACCTACATATTTAGCTTTGCCGTTCTTCTTGCCAATCCGCACGCCACTGCTAAGATGCCAAAGCTGCGGAGTATGCTTAACCACTCGTACACCAATCAAAATGCATGAAGCGAGACGTCGGAACTCCTCGGAGCCCACCGTGTCAAGATCATGGTCTTCCGCCCACTTCGGAAAAAGTAATGCGAGCCGCCAAACTTCTGAGGGAGCCGCCCATGCTGGAACTGCGCGCCGACGTTTTAGTTGCGCTTGTGCTGCTTCTGTGCCGGTGTGTAGTCTGCGTTGCGCTCGAAGTGCATCTGTCCGTGCTCGTGCTGCTCGTGAGTCGTCTTGGTCTGGCCATTTCCGCCACGGATTTGTACTGCTGAAGACCTGCTGGCCCGCGTCGAGCAATGCCCGATTGTATTTATGCCAGGTATCCTCGACCCTGCCGTTCTGAATCAGAGACTGCACCTCACGACCACCTTCATCCGACAATGGCCAATCTTGTAGATGTTGGACAAAGCGATGAAACTCAGGAGTATCCTTCACCCACGCACGAATCAAGAGATCAGTGTTCCACTTAGCCCTCGGAGTAGAAGACAACGTCGGATTCTCAGCAGGATTGTTCAACTCCATATCGACGACAAGAGGGAAATGATCGATGTTATGCGTGTCCCCCTTCGTGAGTTGAAGTCGAAAACCTGAATACTGCCAACTTTCACACTTCTGAACTCTATGTAATGCGGCGAAAAGAATAGCATTGTAGCCAATGCGGTTGCAGATACGTTGTTGTGAATAGTACGTGCCAATGCATACATTGTGCGTGTTCTCTAAAGCCATGATATTATGATTAAGTGTTCTTCTCATCCAGCTCCCTTGAGGTGTCTCCTTCTCTGGACAGCACCACCCTACAGCGTCACCCCGAGGAGGTAGAACCCATCCTGTGTCATCCTTAAGGAGCCCCGTGTGGAAATTCCCATCCATAGGAAGAACATTCTGAACTACATCTTGTTCACCCTGAACACTCGCCCGCCTCCTCTGTTGTTTGGTCCCCGTGAGGCCGATGATGTCCGCCGAACCGAACTCTTCGACAATCTCATCTAAGGAGCGAGTGACCCCTACCGCCTGCGGGTTGTACTGGATACAGTGGAGTCTGCGATACATATCTGAGACCACTACCCATGAAAAGAGCAATAGTCTGATCCACCCAGGAGAGAAATCTGATACCATGGGCGCGCGCGCGGGAGGGCGCGCACGGTCGGAGTCGCTGGACCCGCGGTGCACAGCTGGCCGCTCTTGCCAGCACGCCCTGTCCTGGGCGAATTATTTCAGACGGGGCGGAGGCTCGGGCACCGCGGCGTCTGAGGAGGAGGAGGAGGAGGAGGAGGAGGAGGAGGAGGAGGAGGCCCCTCCCTCCCGAGGAGCGGCCCTCCTCTCCGCGTCCTGACCCGCGGCTCCACGGGCGGCCCCCGGAAGGCGAAACACCTGGCCTCCGGGCGCTGACAGCTGGTCGCGACACGGCCTCGAGACAGAGGGCGGCGGCGACGACGACGTCCGCCGTGACCTCTAGACCTATCTGGACTGCCCAAAACCTCGACGGGAAGTGAGATGTCGAGGTCCTGGTGCTATTTGTGTGTTGCCCTTCTCGAAGGTCAGGGCACGATGTCCCCCCCTGCTTAGTCATCACCCCCTCTGGGCCGCCCCCGACGGCGGCGACGACGACGTCCACCGTGAGGGCGGCAACGCGACCACGAGGACCGCGACGACCGCGACCACAACCGCGACCAAGCCGACCGCGACGACGACCGCGGCGGCGGCGGCGACCCGGTCCGCGGCCGCCCCGAAGCCCAGGCCAGGGAATGCAAGAGGTGCCGACACCGCCACTCCACGGGCCACGACAGTCTCGAAGCGAACCCAGCGATAGCAGCGAGCCCTCCTCTGACAGGCAGGGGCAGGAGGCGGCCAGAGCCCCTCGACCCTGGGAGCCCACAGCGCTTCCCCGGGCATCTCGTGCTCGGGCTTCGATCGAGGCGGCCGCTGCGTCGCCGACGTCAGCCCCCGGAGCCCAGAGCAAAAGAACGGCCCCGGGGTGAATGAGCGGTCCCGGGGGAGGGGTCGAGAGATCAAGGGGCCCAGGGGGCGCAGGGTGTCTGGGCCAGTGATTGCTAAGAGCGGTATTAAACAAACAATATGGGAGTATGTTTCTTTCTGTTTTTCGGGGAAATGCGGGAGACCCTTTTTCAACAAAAAAACAACAACAACAACAACAACAACAACAACAACAACAACAACAACAACAACAACAACAACAACAACAACAACAACAACAACAACAACAGCAACAACAACAACAGCGCTGTAGTGCGCATCGAGAAAACAAAAGGAAGGCCGGGCAAAACGGACCGCGAGGGACGTCCCCGCGACCGCCCTGGCGCTCCGCGCGCGGGGGCGGAATCCTGCGCACCCCCTCTTGGCGTCAGGGCGCGCCTGCCACGCCCTGCGAACTTGGCATGGATAAAGACTGCGCTCAGGGACCACCCTCTGTGCACCCCCTGCGCACCCTCTGGATCGCATCGTTCGGTCTCCGTGGGATATTTTCCAGGGGGGACAATTCAACAGATAATCATTCGGCGGCGAATTAATGGCAGTCGGGATCAGGTGGGGGGGAGGGGGGAGGGGGGGGTCGTCATGTTTTGAACAAGTTTGGGAAGGGGTGCCTTGCCACGGTCAGCGCTGGGCACACCGTGGGTCCGCCTATTCCCAGCATCCTTTTTCGCCGCTTCGCTTGACTCCCCCCTCGCCCGTCGCCGTCCTACCCAAGGCTTCTCAGGCCCTCGGTGTCGCCGCTGAGGACGGCGGGCCCCTCGGACGCTCAGGCCTGCAGACGGCCCCCTCGCTGGCCGTGGCGAGCTTGGGACAATGGAGGCGCCGAGGAGCCGCGGCAGCATTCCATAAGATCATGAAGGGGCCCTGGGACACACAAAGAAAGACACACAAATAACAGGACTCACCATATTGTCCCATATTGTTTGGATGTCTGTCTTCCCCCCCACTTCCCATAGTTTTGCATACTTTCCTGGGAGTCGACGATGAATTGTGCCTGTGTGTTTCTGTTCCCTCCTGAGATCAGTCAGCATCGAATCGGAAGATCGACTCGACTCGGAACGTGTCTCGCATCGGGCTGCGTGGGCACGGCACCGAACTCGAAGCGGCTCGGCCACGCCGGGATGCACCGCGGCGACGTGCAGGCCAAGGGGCCGCACGGTGTCGCCAGGGTACCACCAGCGACTCGTTACCAGGCTATCGAGAACCGATGTCGAACCGGATCGATCGGATCGGAACCCTGTGATATGAATCCCCCCGCTCGATCCGCGAAGGAGGCGACACCACGACGACCATGACGACGACACGACGACCACGACGACAACGACCACCACCACGCCGACCACGACGGCCACGACTACGGCCACGGCCAGGATCTCGGCCGCGACCGCGACCTCGACGACGACGACCGCAACGACGACCGCGACCGCGACGACGGCGACGCGACGACGGCGGCGGCGGCCTGGTCCGCGGCCCCGCGGGGTGCGTAGCTCTCCCGCGGGGGCACGGCGGGCGGCGCCTTGGGCGGGCTGCGCAGGGCCGCCCTCACCGGCGCGCCGCTGCGCGGCCAGGTCACCTGTCGGAGCCCGCCCGCCGAGGCCGCCGCCGAGCCGCCGTGGTCGCCGCGGTCGACGTGGGCGGCGGCGTGGCCGGCCGCAGCCGCCGCCGGCGTCGCGGGTCAGCGCCGTGTGCGTCGCCGCGGGTCGTCGCCGCCTGCGTCGCCGCGGGTCGTCGTCGCGGCCGGGGCCGCGAGGACGCCCCCCGCATGGGACCCCACGAGAGGGCAGGGCCATGCCCGAGGCCATGGATTATCCTCGAGCCTCGAACCTCGAGCGAGCCGCGCCCGAATCACGCGTCGCCCGTCGCACGGAGGCCTCTGGAGCTCTCCGAGGGTCCTTTCCCATCGAGGTGCCAGCCAACATTTGGCCAGTGGGCTCCAGAAGCCCCACAGGACATTTAAAACTTGTAAACACCTGTCCTCGACCCTCGGCCACGTTTGCCACAGAACCACTGATCCACGGGGTCCATGCCGGCCAGTTGTTCGAGCTGCGTCCACATGTGTCGACGAGAGTCTCAAGAGACGCTCAGAAACCACCGAAGCGACGACGACAAAAACGACAGCGACGACGACGACGACGACGGCGGCCACGACCACGATGACGAGGACGACATCGACGACGACGACGACGGCGGCCACGACCACGATGACGAGGACAACCGCGACTTCGACGTCTACGACGGCGACGACGATGACGACGATCACCAACACGTCTTAGACGACGCCAACTGCAGCAACGACGACGACGAAGACGACAACGAGGACGACGACAACGACTACGACTACGACGACAACGACGACGACGACGACGACGACGACGACGACGACGACGACGACGACGACGACGACGACGACGGCGGCGGCGGCGACGGCTGCGGCAATGACGATCCCGAGTGCCCGGTCGCCCACGTCTGGTCGCCCGCCAAGGTCAGGAAGGACAGCGTGCGCGCGAGGGCGAAACCCTCGGAATCTGGAGAGGGCCGCCCTTTTGTGTCTCGCCGCGGCCACTGCCGTCATCGCCCTCGTCGACGTCGTCGTCGACGTCATTTTCCCTCCTCCTCCTGATCCTCCGCCTCCTCCTCGTCTCTTCCGTCTCCCTTCCTCCCCGTCTTCCTCGTGTGTCCCTGCTTCTCGTGCTCCGGCTCCTCGAGCACCGACTCGCAGCGACCCCCGCCTCTGGGCCGAGCCGCGCCCCGCCTCTAAGCGGCCCTCCCCGCACACTGCACGAGGCCTGCGGCGAGGGCCCCGCCGAGAGAGGAGGACAGGGCCTGGTGGATCCGCTGCCCCTCAGATCCTGCGCGCGAGCAGCAAGGCGACGATGCCGAGCACAACAGAAAGACTCAGAGACACTGCCCAAGACCCGGCCATAAGACAGCGGTCCGTCGAGGACGCGCTGAGAAGATACAAAGAGCTTGGACTTTCGACTTTCGAGCGGTAGACAAATCATTGAATTTAGACCGGAACTCCATTTCACACTGTTCCTGCAACATGAAAACTCCCAATCCATAGGCGACCCTCCTTGAAAGTCGGGTGGCGCGGGCGCGTTCGGTACAGGACGTGGCCCAAGTCCTTCGGGGCCAATGCGGCATACTTCGCGACCAAAGCCTTGGTCTCAGCACCCGTCTCTGCAACAGGCTCACGCTCCTTCTGCAAAAGCTCCATCACACACTTGAACATCACTGACCGCTGACTTCCTCCCAGAACGTGCGCCCGCAGGTCCTTTTCCTCGCCCATGCCCCATGCCCGCGTCTCCACCCCCCGTCTCTCCTCGACGCTCCTTCTCGTCCTTACTCCACCGATCTCGTCGTGCACTGACGGACTGCTTCGCTGTCTCGTCCGTCAAGATGACCGCGAAGCTCGCGCGGTCCTCGAAGGCGCCCAACAACTGCTCGTGTGGATTCCTTGCTGGGAGCCTCTCCGTCGCTGCGCCCTTTCTGTCGCCTGACCGCGCGCGGCGCACCGCCCGCCCCTGCAGCGGCAACGGCTTGGGCCATGGACGCGGCGCTTCGGCAACGCCCACTTGGGCAAGACAACATCTAGGCACGACCTCCAGCCAGCCCTCAGAAACTCGAGCCCGCACAGCTACAACGGGAGGCACGAGATACGCCGACGGCGTTGACATGGCTTGAAGCTGCGCGAGGTGAACCTGCATTGGAACTGCCAGGACGTGATTCCCTGCCGCGCAGCCGGCCCCACCCGCGCCACCCTGCAGCGAACCCCTTCCACCCAAACCTCGCCAGGATCATGCGAACACGTATAAATATGATCCCTTCGCACTCGCCGTCACGCCACAGTTGCGACATGCGCGGGGCGCATACTTGACACCCACCTCCTTCCCATCTCGCTCTCGGCTGGACAGCGGCGCTGGCGGGGCGACGACCGCGGCGCGGTGGATACTTCGGCTTGGAGCCCTGTTGCGAAGGCCCATGACCACGACCTCTGGAAGCTTGCAGCGGGGCTGCTGTCCGCGACACCTCCGCCGCCGCTCGCGCCGACGCCCCCCCCCCCTCCCCGACGGGGCCTGGCGCGGGTTGGCCTGGCGGGGCCCCGCGGGCGCCCCCAGGGCACTGCGATTTCAACTGGGGGCGGGCCGCTTTCCTCCCGCGCGCCTCTTCGCACCAGCCACCCCTGCAGACGGACTCGGGGGTCGAACTCGCCGGGCGCATTTTCTGACGCGCACTGCGTGCGATCCGTTGGAAATGATAACTCCACCATGAGGACGCACCTTCGATGGCGAAATCAGACGCCGTGTTTCAGAGCGCAGATGGCCCGAATAATGCCGCACGCGCCGTGCAAATTCGCCGGGGTGCTGCGATCGCCGCATCTAGGGCGCACTCGAATCTGCGACCCGCCGTGGCCCTTCGCGTCGACCTTCGCCGCACATCCAAGATCCCCCTCGGCAGGCGGGCGGTCGCCGACTCGGCGCCGGCAGCGCCACCCTCGAGACGTGCCACCACCACCCCTCGCACCTGCCACTCGCCCGCCGAGCACCGCGCGTTCGCCGCCGCGAGCTGGGCCGGCCCCCCACGCCACTGGCGCAGGCGCAAATGCTGACCACAGCGAGCGGCGCCCAGGTCGATCGCGCAAAAAAGCCCCCGACATCTGGACGCCCCATCTGGAGTTGTCGCCTCGCCCCAGAGGCCACAGGCAAGACGCGGCACGATTGATCACCTGGATCTCGACCAACTCCAGCCCAAGCCACTCGCGCAGCACCGTCGCGTTGACCTTCTTGGCCTCCGCCCGACGATGCGTCAAAACCCGATCGCGACATGTCAAGTAACGCACAACTGCCCACTACCTCGTAACGATTGCGCGCGGTCCAACCCCTTGATGTAGCCCGCTCGGACTTCGCTTCCACGCGTGAGACATCCCATCAGCGCCGCTTGAAGAGTCCGACCTTGCGCTTTCAGAATTCATTTTGCCGCGCTCAGTGGGTGCTTCAGTTCTGCCCGCACATAGGACGCCGCCCAAACCCTCGTGGAAACGCGAGCACGAAATCCTCCATCCGAGTCTGTCCAAGCACAAGGGCGGCGCAATGAGAACCTCGGGGGAGCCCCGCACTCGCGCCGCGCACCTCGATCGCTCAACGCGTCGCGCGCGGTCTCCACGGTCATCTCGACGCGCGCGACGCATCGCCGGCAGAAGCCATCACTCTGAAACCCGCCTGGAACTCCTCGGCCCCACTCATGATTGACGCTCTGTGGCGCGCCTCAAATGCGAGCCTCGTCCCAAGCAGCAGAGCACGCACCTCGGACAGGGTTAGAACCCGAAAAACCGGCACACCCATCGCGTAAACCCCTGAAAGATCGAGGCGCTGATGACGTTCCGTGTCGAAGTTTGACCTGACGCTCCGGCCCCGACCGGCGGCGTCGAAACACAGCAGCATCATCGCCGCAGGCCCTCGATCTCCACGACGCCTCATAGCGGCTCTCGAGGAACTGCGGGGTGAGCTTCTTTTTAATGTCCGCCAGGTGCAACGCCGCCCCCTTGCACGCGAACGCCGCGGACTCCTTTTCCCACTCGGCCCGGCGCTGACCCCGCGCGCCCGCCCCCTCGCAGGCAGCTCTGGATCGATGCAGACGCAAACCCACGTGGCACGCAGCTCGCCGATCACCCGGGTGATAAATAGAATCCCCGCGCGGACGGGCCCTTCCGAACACCCCGCTGCTGGTTGATAATCGCCCCCTGCGCCTCGAAGTTTGCCGTCGCCCGTCGGATTGCAATATTGGCCAGGATCCGGGTCAGCATCGCCAAACAGCGCATGCCACGACAAGCGTCTAGAGACGTGCGACGTCCTTTCTACTTCCACGACATCAAGACCACGGCCTGGTGGGCCGCAGAGCCCAAGTGCGGCCGCGGCCCCCCCCGCGGGGCCACCTGCCACGCGTCGCGAATCACCTCGAACACCCGCTGCTGGGTCGACAAAAGGAGCACAGCGGATCCTGTCGATGGTCACCTCATCGCCTCCTGGTGCCCACACGCGCATGGCCTTCATGGCCGATGCAGACTCGTCGAACGTCGGCATCGAATCAACCTCCTTCACGATCGGCTTCCGGCCCCGATTGGCCGCAATCACAACAACATTCGGCGACGCCTTCGTGCCACTGATCCGCTCGAAACGCTGGCGACTCCTCTGAGTCGATCGTCGCCACGTCCTGGAAGTTGGACCCCCCGAGGTTCACACCCAGCTCCTTGGGCAAACCACGCTGGCAACCCACGTCGCGATTCGCATGTGATCTCGCCGCGCATCTCCGTGATGACCTGGCCCTTCTTCTAGTACCCGAACGTTCTCTCGCACTTGACCCGGGGGTGCCGAATCCTCTCGACGTGGACGCCAAATGTGCCCACGGACCATTGCACTCGTCGGCAGCTGGCCGCGACACGCCCCCGATTCTCCATCAGCTCTAGCCGGCACATCTCGAACCAAGGGAGATCGCTGCGGCGAGATCCTCGACCTGCGACCTTTTCCGCAAACTGGGTGATGTTCGAAGCACCTCTCCCCGTCCTTGCCAAACCTCCCGTTGCCTGACTCCCTCGCTCGGCGTCGAGATTGGTCAGCTGCGCGCACCACTCCCCTCTGAGACCCACTGCAAAATCCCCATGCCCACGAGCTCGGTCCCACCGCAGCGTTTTTTTTCTTTCGTCGACCTGGGGGCCCCCGAAGTTCCCGACGGCCGGGGGGGGAGGGCGCGGCCGAACGGTGGGAACTATGCAAGAACTGTGCAAGCTTGCCCGGCGGTCGCACCCTGCAAGCACGGCCGCCACCGTCGACGTGATCCGCCGACTGTGGCCAGGAAAAAAAAAACTGCTCGCACCACTTCCTCGTTGCTCCATGAAACCAGAACTCCTCGCGCGCACGGTCGAAAAGAATCTACATTGTAGAGCCTTTCGCTCTGGGCCCAGTCGGCCAACTGATAAGACATCTTCGGCGTCTGGTCATCGAGTGCCAATCTGCGAACAAAACCAAGGTTGTCCGTCTATCCTCCGTCCCTGTCGTCTCGCAGACACCCAGACCGAAGACCCTTCAAGAACATGATGCCCTCCGCCGGCCCAAGCCGAGGAACATTCGAGAGTGCCCTCCCCCAGAATGCACCAAAACACCCCAGGGTGCACCAGAACACCCAACGAACACGAAAAACATGAGGGTACCCTCCCAGAACCAACCTCGATCTTATACCTCGGTCCGACTGTATCTGCTCCAAGATGTGAGTTCGCACCTCCTCCCGCGATCACCCGACATCCCGATCTTCGAAGGTTCTGTAACAACAGACTGCCCTGCTCGAAAAGCGACGGCGACCCATTTGGCTTTTGGCGGCGGTCCTCCCATGCGCCGGCGCGCACTGCGCACACACAACAAACTGCGCTCCCTTGCACGCGGGAAGGAATACCAAGCCATCGATCCGAGTCTGGGGCCACTGCCAGGACCGACCCGTCCTTCTGCCACTTTCCCACAGGACACCTCGACAGAAC